TCCAACCCAGGGTCAGACCATGAAACAGTCAAAGAAATTGCTAAAATATCCCCAAAAACAACCATGTCCAGCAGCAGGACTAATTTAAAATGTTAGATGTTATAGTCCATGAGTATGGATTGTTTATAACAATTTCTAGGAGAAACTCTTTCCAGATCATTTAGATCTTCACTGCTGGATGAACCACCCCTTCTGGATCTGTTTTCTGTATGTGGATCAGATGCTGAGTCATGTTGCACACGGCCATGTTTGGGAAAGCAAACACAACACACCAGCTTTCTAACACGGTGGACACGACCTCCGGCTGTAGGACATGGGCACCTTGTAGTCACTGAGATAATCATGAACTCCTCTGTATGCCAAAGTAATTTTTACATGTGACAATCTCGGGTCAAATTGGGTGAATGATCCAAGACACGGCAGCAAATCTTCAACAGAACGGCTTAAACAGAAAGCAACCAAGCTGCTGCAAAGGTCCAGTCAAAGTCCAGAGGTGGTGGAACCTTAAGTGATCTCTGCATGAGCAAATGTGCACAAACCTTAATGAACTGAAGCAATTTCATAAAGAAGTCTGGGACAAAACTCCTTGTTAAAACAAGGGAGCATTCATAATCCCTGTTTAAAGGGAATCTTACACAGCTAGTGATTCTTTAAAAACTCTACAGCAAACGGAAATTAAATGTCTCATGATTCAAAGCAACATATTGACTTTAAGCTTTAAGCCTCTGTTGTTCAAAACTTGCTTGACTAATTTTGACTGGATTTGATTCATTTACATTTGGATTGAATTTGGTTTCAATAACTGAAATAGATCGACTTTAAATGATCTCTACATAATGAGGTTTGATTTCGAATTTGTTGATAGTACAATTTGCATTTGAGCTTGATTTGCTTAAAGTTATCTGCAAAGTGAATTTGCTTTTTTTAAAGTAATGAACCTTACTCTCACTCGTCTTTCAAGAATCAGTGGAGCAGCACTGATCACAGCTAAATTTCTGCTTTTCTTTATAAATTTACCAGTTTTTCTCAGACAGACATTAATATTATTTTGAAAAAAACTAGCCATGTGTTGAAAAATTGGAACAAGCAGCTGACAAATTAAATTTATTTTGAGCTCAAACTGTTGTACTCGATAAGTGAAACACAAAGACATCCACCAGGTTACCTCATCCTTTCACAGATTTTATGATTCATCATTAAAATCTGGTCTACCAATAAGGTTTTCTCTTTATAAGATCGTAACACATCATTGATTATAAGACCGGAGCGATGTTACCTGGTAGTGGGTGTTGGCTGGAACTGTTCCTTTAACCTGTGGGCAGACATAAAAAGGAGAGCAGTGGGGTCAGTGAACAGCAGGTACGCCATGAATCTCCAGACAGATGGCTGGTTTTATTACCTGCACTCGCACTGGCTGTGCTCTACGAAGGGCAGCTCGATGAGCTCGTGTTTCATGAAGGACGTTCTCATCAGCTGCACACAGAGCCGAGAAGAAAAATGATTTCACACTTATCATCTAACCAAAACACAGGGAGGTGTGTGTGTGTGTGTACCTCCATGGTGAGGGTGTGTGTTAGCAAAGGCACACACTCCAAGGCCTCATCGGCGCAGCAGCCACCACATCGCTTCACAGACACACAGGACGGGACGAAGAGGTGGTGGATCTCCCCTGGCAACTCCCGCCAAACCTCCACCAGAGTGTCGCGAGGCTCGCAGCCGCTGCGGGAATACACCTCCAACCACCGTCGCACTGACAGACAGACAGACACACGGACATGTTCCCAGTTATGATTTCACACCTTCAACTCCCTGCATGGAGATTCTCTGATGGATATTTTTGGGCGTACCTTCCCGACCTTCCCTGGTTCTGGGGGAGTCTGCCGGCCGCCAGTGAGCGAGCTGGAGAGACAGTAAAGATGGTGAACGTAAAACTCAAATGCTTGCTTTAGCTAAGTTGTATTTAAAGTTGAGCTCAAACTTCATAGTTTGGTATTAAATTCAAGTTCTTTAGAGGTAAACTGAATGAAATCCCTCTGCAAACCTCTGCATCTGGTGGAGGATTCGCAATGTCTTAGCAACATTTTGCAGGAGTTTTAGGGTAGAAAGCAAAGCATTAACTTACTTATGAAAGTGCTGATAATATTTTAAAAACCCCTCATTAGTTAATATCCTGAAACACAGAAAACACAATATAGACCTGAGATAAGAGAAAAAAATCTAAAACAAAAAATTCTCTCTGGTTAGTCTTGCATTTAGAAAATAGTAAGTTAGTAATCCTAATTGACCTTAAACAAGACAAATTTAGTCTGATTTAACTAACTTTGTTAAATCAGACTACCTGATTTAGTGAGAAAAGAGGTTGTGTTTTTTAATAATGTATCTCTAACATCTATATTAAATGCTGGGGATATTGTAATATATACATTTTATGTATGTCAACACTGTATTTATGATCTTCAAAACACAAAAGACTAAATAAAATTAATAAATGTGTTAAACAGCTCAGATTTTACTCCTTAAACACATAAAAGACAAAACTACATTAAAGAAAAAAACATAAAACAATAAATTAAACACAAAAATACAAAATAATTAAACTTAAAATTTTATTCTGAAAGTCTATGTTGCATATTAAATACTAAGATTGGACTCAAGGAGGAAGCCGGAGTACCTGGAGACAACCCTCAGATGCAGAGGGAGAACATGCAAACTGCGTGCAAACTGCGTGCAAACTGCGTGCAAACTGCATGCAAACTGCATGCAGAACGACCCCAGGCTGGGATTCAAACCCAGAATCTTCTAATGTCAAGGTGACAATGCTACCAATGTTCCCACTGTGTAGTTTGAAATGCATAAAAGATCAGATAAAAAGTTAAATGAGTTACTTTTTTTATCAATTAAATTCAGGTTTTTAGTTAATTATGCCATCATTTTGGAGCCTCAGTGTTTTTCTTTCTGTATCAGATTTAAAACCACGGCATGTCATTTGATGTTACTAATCCACTAATCCATATTCATTTCTGGAGTAAAGCATTAAATAGCTGCAGTCATCCTGGTTTTATTGTCTCCAGTCTCCGCTTTGACATTGTTGCGAAACCTGGCTGGAGCAGATCCAAAGATCAAAGTGTCTCTTGTTAATGAACACCACAATATTTCACACCTGGGATCAGAACATGACAAGCTCAATAAAGCCTGGTTCATAGATAAGAGGAACAAATAATAATAATAAAAAAGACCTGGAAACCTCTGAACTTTGATAGAGGGTAACAGCAGGTGCAACAGCTAATTTAAACATCAAGGTACAATTTTGGCAGCACATTATTCAACACACTTTCTGCACAGATGAGGTCTGCTGGTTTATTTGAAGTGAAAATGGCTGTGCACATGATCAAATTTCTGCTCCGTGATGTTGTAGAAGAGCAGGCTGCTCCATATTTGAACCTGTTGCACCTGCTACCTTTGCCCTCAAGCCCACAGATGGATAAAAAAAAACTTCTACAAAGGTGCACAGAGGAAATGTCAATAGGTGAATTATGCAAGATAAATTCAATTTGTCTTACTGTGACAGATAATGCATGCTATATATTATTTTGCTGTGTCAAATAGTGTTTTAATTTCCCACAGATGTTTAAACAACTTAAAGATGCACACGTCCTTTCTGCATACTTTTGATCTTACTCAACACTTTTATTGCCAAGGGTGAAAATAAAATACTATTGAACCAAAAAGGACCCAATTCCTTCTGACGTAGATGCATGTTGTTGTAAGTTATGAAGGATTTGGCTGGTTGATCTATTTCTTATTGAAATAAATGTAGTCTTAATTTAAAAAGATGACTTGAAAATAACAGAAAACAGAACCAAAATCAGTAAGTTGTTGAAGTTCACAACTTACTGATGCATCATCATGCTGGCAGAAATAGTGTTTTTGTTTAAACTATGCTGATAACCTACTGAGCAATGCTTTTTTGGTATTACCAAAGGAATAAAATAACTTCAGACACTAAGCCCAGCTAAAAAAAACCCATTGTTACTTAATGAAGTTTCTACCAGAGTGAAATGAACCAGAAGTATTGAAGTGGCACCCATAACCAAAGCCGATAAGATTTGTTTATTCATTTTAAGTCCACAATTCAGTTATCCTGAATTTTACATCCTTTGTTGCACATTTGAAGCCAAATCAAATTAAAGGCACAAGAAAAGACAAAAGAAGAAAATATTTCTCCCGAGTTGCATTATAGTGCATTAAAAATGTTTTCAGATGTTTTTCCTAAGAGCAGAGTGATTTCTGTTAATTTTCTTGAATTATGTTCTGCATTGTTAATGATATTCTGTTTGTCCACCATGTGAATGATGAGCTTGATGAATGAACAGTTTGTCTACTGAGGGCTTCACTGATTGGTGACCTTTTATAACATGATGTGACAGACTTGTTACCAATTAATCTAATTAGTTGTGAGTTGTTCTCTTAGCTCCAGCCTTGTTGGCAGGACACATTCTGGCACAGTTCCTGTCTTTTCCTTTAAACAAATCACAGCTTACTTTACTTTCAAACATGTTGTTGACATCAAATTTAAGAATATGCTTCCATTGTTTAAGTTCGAATTCGTCGTGTCTCGTTACGGATCTTGTTTGAAGGCAACATTGAGTCCAAAACACATTTATAAAGGTCACATGTTGTTTTTATACACAGTGCACATGTTTTTGTTATTCAATTGATGTCTATGTTTAACTGTACTTTTTAAATTACACTTGGGTTATATTAACCATTTTCTCTGCGCTCCAATGAAAACAAAGAACATTATAAATTTTATATTGTATCATTGTATTGCATGGAGCTGCACTAATCAATAGTGACCAGAACTGACCAGTTTTCATCTCAACAGTGAGCAATTATTTGGACAGTGAAAAATCCTTCAGTTTCTGCAGGCTAGTAAACACATCATAAATAGACAACCAATCTGCTCTTTGCAAGCTGTAGAAAAAAACATCCATTTTATTTTGTTGAGCTTTTAATCTTCTTTAAAATCTGCTGAAAAACTTTCAGCCAAACTGAGGGCAGCCTAGGAAATACACAGAGAGAAAATACACTTATAATGCTAATCATTTTTCATTGTTTTAATTGTACTATTTCATAAAATAGTAAAATGTGATCTCGCTGTAAAGCTGCATCAAAGCAACTATTCAAAAACCCACAGATACAAATCCTCAGCTCCTTGTGTGAATAATTAATGTTGGTTCACAGCAGGATGGCTGCTTAAATTACTTTGTACAGAAAATGAATGAATAATTTATGAAAAATCATAGGTCTAACAGTAAATCTTTTTTTTTTTTTTTTTTGAACAAATATTTCCAGTGACACAACTGATGTTTATTTTATACGAAGGTATTTTAGATAGAATAAAAATAAATAATTTTGTCTTAAATGAAGCAGGTTTGTGTATTTGTTTGGGGGGAGATTGTTAAAATATTATGAAGCAATAATTTTTCTTATAAAAGGAGATATACCATATATACTGTATTTCCACAGACATCTTTATCTAATGACCTGGATAATATCATCTTTATTAGACTGCTGATAAAAAAAGAAAACATCTTAGAGCAAATGTTTTATAACTCTCCTCTTTTGTGATTTGGCTGATTTATTTTAATTTTTCATGATGTCACAAAATGAAGCAGCATGTTTGAGGTGCTGACTTAAAATACATCCACAGATTTGTCTCTGTTTAACTCAGGTGTAGTGAATTAACCAATCAGAAGCTTGCAAAACTGTGACATCATCATCAGGGTTTTGTTTAAAAGGGCAGTATGATGCATTTCCCAGGCACATAGTGCCTTTTCATAGCACAATCAAGTAACTATGTTAATTTAAGTTGTCATAAAATGCAATGTATATCTAATATAAATTAAAATAAAGTTTACTTTGTAATTTAATGAGTTGAACTGGACCTATGTTGCTTTAAAACCTCCCGTTCTTTCTGAAGCTCCGCTTTCAGGAAGTCATTATAACATAACTCCTCTATAAAACTGTTAAAGTTTTTACCAGCGTTTCACTGAGAAATAGCTCATATAATGAGCACCATCCAGAAAACCACCCAGGTGTTTTTCGCATCTGACTGGTTGCCACTGGAGATTAAATGATTTCTCAAACATGAATGAAAGAATCAAGGTAGCACTAAATGTATGTTTTTGATTAGGAAATAACATTATAATATGATATAAAGCTCAAAAAAGCCAATATTACATGACACTGGCCCTTTAAAGACAAAATTAACAACAGTAAATGTTTAGTCTAATCTAAAGTCCAGACAGAGAAATAAAATGACTGACCTGGAAAAAAATGTGAGTGATCCATTTATTCTACTATCACAGCATGTTATAACATTTCACACGTTTTTGGGGGGGTTTTTAAATTATTTTTTAAAGAGTGTTATACCCAGCAGTGTTATCTGAGTGTTAAAGTGATACCCAATATATTTACTTTCACTAGTGAAGCATTACAGCTTTCACATATTAAACTTTATTAGAAATTTAGCTTTGGGTATATTTCAAATGTAATGGACAGGAAGATGGAAAAGAAAGGAGAAAAGAAAGGGAGAACTATGGGAAAAGGTTTAAAGAAAAATAAGTTTTCAACATTTCACATGTTTTCCTTGTACTGATTTCTTCAAATTCTGAGTTTAAATGATCTGCAATATTCTGCAAGGCAATATAATTGATGCTCTAAAGTTAGCACTGTGGTATTTTTACAACTATAAACAACCTAAATACATTGTCTTCCTGTGAAAGCAGAAAGAGTGAAAACAGACTTTACAGCTCAGAGTTAGTCTGTGTGTGCATGAAGACCAAGGCCACTTGTGAGGGAATGTAGACTTTGTCCAGTTGCCCCCTCCCTCAAAGCGCTCCACCCCCTGTCAACGCTCTCTCACACACATGTTTGACTCTTATTGATTCAACAACAGTTAAGTTAAGCTGCAACTGAGGCCATTTTGTGGCCGGTCTGAGCTAAACTATGTTTCTTCTCTATCTTTGAGACAAAGTCTCAGATTAACTCCTTTCGGCAGCCATATCTGCCTTTCTCTCATACACACACGCTCACACACACACCCATTAAATATGAGTGCCAGCCCCGAGCCATCTGCACTGGCAGCGCTATCTGTCAACAGTCTAACCAGTCTAACTCCCAGCCACTCCCTGGGCCCACTGTACAGATGGGGCTGTGTGCATGTTGAAAGGAGGAGACGCGACACCAGCGAGGCTCATTGCCACGACAGAAGAAGGATGACCCCCTTTTACAAATAAGCTGTCGGGGAGGCAGACGGCACAAAAGCAGAACGTCTCGGGGTGTGAAGGTGAAGAGGCTTTCTGGTGTTTCATGTAGTGTCTGGGATGATGAATGACTATAAGCTGCAGCATCATAGCGGCAGGGTGCTGCTTCAGAGCACTGCCTGTCCCCGATTCCAGCCTCCTGACGTTAAAGCAGGACGTGCAAATTTGTCCTGCAGAAAAGGCCCATAAATCACACCAAGGACCATGTTAGTGCAGTCAATATGTGTTTATTATGAGCTGTAATTTTCTGTCTAAATTACAGATGTAAAAAAAGACAACAATAGCACTTTTATGTGTAATGTGTGCTAAATTTAAAAACAGATTAACAAATAAAATAACTTAATCATTTCTTGTTTCTGTAAGTATTTTTAATGGAGTGTTTAAATTGATATCTTACTGTTGACAGACTTCTTTTTTAAAAAACTTTTATAGGACACACTGAAGCTTCTACTTGCTGTTTTTCAGACCATGAGAGGGTTTTGGTGGCATTCTGGCAAAGTTCATCGACAACTTCCAGAGCCAGACACAGACTTAGCTGCTCACTGTGTTCCTATGAAACACTAAACAGATAGTGCAATCTTTCCATCTATCGCTCAAATGAAAACACGAAGACAAAACATACATTTGGATTTTATGTGAAGCTTGTTTTTTTTTATTGTAATGCGTAATGAAAGGGTTTTTGTTTTTGCGCTGCAATGTTTAAAAAGGTAAAACATCCCATTTTTCACATTTTATGAAGAAGGATCAAACAACAAGACCAACAAGTGCCAGAGAGGAGATTTTCCATAACCTGGCAACTTATTAACTGTCCTTATGAATGGTTCAAACCTGATCCAGCAAGAACTGGAAGGTTGAAGTCTTTACAGCAACATAGTGTCACAAGTTAGTACACCAATTGCAGTCAGATGCCACTAAATCATTAAACATTCTTGGTAAACAAATAGCATTATGAAGATCAAGAAGCACAGCAGATGGGTGACAGATGAGGTTGTGGAGAAGTTTAAAGCAGGATTGGGTTATGGAGGAAAACTTTGAACAACTCAATCCATAATCTGAAAAGAATATATCAGGAATATGTAGTATCTGTGGATGTAATATCACAAAGGCTGATGTGAAGTTACAAAACTGTTAAAATAACACATCCAAGAGAGTTCAAACATTGCATGGCACCAAGAAATTCAGCCTGCATCTCATTGTTGTTGATATCCACATGTCACACATATCACACTGCCCCAGATCCTCAAGGTGACAGAGTGTTGGAAGCGTTGATGTAAAAGAAAAGATTATTTTATTCTAGGTGATATAATGGTGTTATGTTTTTTCCAAACTATTTCACAATCGCATGACTTTATGTTTGGTCTGCCCTGGAGAATGGCAGACTTAGTAAGATGATAGTAAGTAAGATGATAGTTAGATGCTTAGTTTTAAAATATTAACTCTGTGTTTTATTGATTTTTATTACTGTTTTTATTTTTATTGGATGTAACTGTGAAGCTCTTTGGTCAGCTGATATAGTTGCTCCAGTTCTTGTGGGCCGACATCCTGCCAGTTTTAGATGTGTTTCTGCTCCAACACAGCTGATTCGAATGGTCCAACTACTTCCTCAGAGTGTCATTAAGCTCTGCAGAGGTCTGTTAATTAACTATCATTTGAGTCAGGTGTGTTGAAGAACTAAAGAACTAAAACATGCAGGACACTGGCCTTGAGAACACCACTATCTTAAAAAATCAGAGGTACAAATGAGTGGTTTTAATCAGGGCTTTTTTTTATGTGTTCAAATGGTCCAGTCAAAGTCCAGACCTAACTGAGAATCTGTGCCAACACTTTGTTATTCAGTCTGGATGAGTTGGAAATTATTTTACAAAGAACAAGGAAAGTATTTTAGTCTCTCTAAAAGACCTGCAGGTGTAATTCTTTTTTTTTTTTAAGTGTTTTAGGCCGCATTTTAAAGATTTTTATTTCTAAAATATTTAACCCCTTTTATAGTAATATGCATCAAACCAACACACCATCAGACGTCTTATTTACACCCCTAATGCCGATTGATGCATTTTGAACACATACTAATTATATTTAAGAGCATGTTGTCGCCGTCTAGTGGCCAGAGTAATGAGAAATTCTGCCTATCTTCGCAAATTTCTTTGCTAAATAACTAAATTGACACACATAGCTTGTGCTTTATACAAATTAATAGCCCCACTTAATTTAAAGCCTGATAGCAAAAACACAACTAATTTATATATATATATATATATATATATATATATATATATATATATATATATATATATGTAAATATGTTATGCACTACTTCCTGTTGGTCTCATAAAATCCTAATAAAATGTATTGATGTCGGCCAAGTTCAAGAGCTTTGAGCACCTTGTTAAGACTGACGTATGATGAGACTCGCATAGCTTCTCTGTGCATACTTGACTGCTGATTAACTGCCCTACAACATCCTCAAGGTCTGTGTTTGCCAGTCACATGACCTGAGGTGACAGGTGTCATTGACCTAGGGGATAACTTCCACAAAAGCAACAAAGAAAACCTTATTAGCCCCGCAAAATGAGGCTTCGTGTAAAATTATCACCCCGCACATGTACTACCCCCAGGGGTCAGATGAAACATATGAAACATACCTTGGCATGGAAGGTCGGTATTCTGGTGAGCAGCAGGAACTGAAACATTCCTAAAATAACTTGAAGCATAATCCCCATCGTGCAGGAGTCAAAAGGCGCACCTTAAAAAGTATTTTTGGTCCAATCCAAAATAAAGAAGAAGAAGAAAGAAAAAGATAGGGAAGGCGGCTTGTGTTGGTTTTCTTCGCCGGTTACAGACGCAGATGTCCCGCTTTCATTCTCCAGTCTCCCTTCCTTGAAAGCGCTCCCATGGTGGCATCATCAATGCTGGAATATCAACTTTGCTTTCTTGCATTTGGGCTTAAATTAGAGCAGAAACATACCCGGGATCAGTTTCCAGCCTAAAGTAAGTTCAGCACAGACGGAGTGTGCCTCTCTCTGTGTGTTTTTAACGTATAACCTTGGGAGCACAGCAGCAGATTCGGGCCTTTGTCTTGAAAAATGAATGAACTTTAAATTAAAGCCCGTTTCATTAATCAGTCCCGTTTGGCTCTGATCCCTTGAAGCCAGTGATGATGTGGGGGGTTCCAGCCGGCGTGGCGTGACGGAAGGATTATACAGATTCCCGCTGAAACGTGGAGCGGTCAGAAAATCGTGGCGTGTCTATAAGGAACACACACACAAAAAAAACTGCATCATCCAGGAATAGGACGTTTTATCCGGTGAAGATCCGCCGTGCTGAGGAACAGCGCTGCATAGTCCTCTCCTCTGACTCAGTCACGCTATCACTACACTGTCGCTCCAAATTAAAATGTGACGTCTCCTCTCCAGGCGCATCTCTCCGCTGTCTTCTTTCTTTTAAATTACCTCCTTATAAATAACCCCTGTAATCCCGAACCTTCTCTGACGTGGAAGTGCATCTGCGGCTGAGGCAGCGCAGCAGCAGCAGGGCAGTCCGCACACACAGAGACACAGACGGAGCCAGAAAGAGCCGCGGAAAGGTGCAGCGCTCTACATTTGTTATTGTGATCGCTTTCCTCGCTTCCTTTGCCCTTGAGACGCACGCAGCGTAACCATTGCGCCGCCAACTTTCTTCCGAACGGGACAGGCGCACTGGATACAGGTGCAGCGTCTCTATTGGTCCCAGAGTGAGGGATCAGGGGGCCTCCGGGGGGCCCCCCACTATGCAAGGAGGGGAGCGTGGCCGTGCTTGCCTCTGAGGACACGGGGGTCATGCCTCTGGAGGATTCCTTTAAAATTCAGTTAGCCTGAGGGGCTATAAACCAGCACATGTTGAGCCTCATATGGTCAGATTTAGGGGAATTGTAAATTAAGAAAGCTGAAAAACGAACTCAGAAATATATACTCTGATAATTGTAGTTTATCATCAGCTTTTTTGACTAAATAAAATGTCATAAATTAAAATACTGACTTTTTTGAATATTTTTCTTCCAATCAGCACAAGTTCAAGATCACGTAGGGAACCTAGGATGGTTTTTTAGGGGTGACACACTTTCAGCTAAACCCACAAAAACATATCACTTTAAATTAACCACGTCATGATACAAACATTGATTCACTTTAGTGAAGTAGGAAATAAGATGGTTTGTTTATCTGATTTCCACTTCCATTTGTTGTGCTCTTTTTTTTAAGTTTTGTATTCTTTTTAAATGCTATATTCACACATAGGAATACACAAAATAACAGCATTAACATGCATAGTATCGGTCTAATAAGTAAAATATGTAATTTCTCTCTTGTTGCTGTTTGTGTGTGAGGGGGTTAGCCATGTCGGGTCTGTTTGGGGATGTGACGCAGCGCAGGACTGTGGGATGTTTACCTGAAGAGAGAAGCAATGTTAGTGGTGTGGTTATTCTCTCATTGCATCGAAAGGGAATGGGAATGTGAATTAGTAAATGTCTGGTTTCGAGCATAGTAGTAATAATAATGTTCATACTGCCCAAAAGTTCTGCATTGGTGCATCCTTTTCCATAAAAATCTGAATTTAAAAGCACAATGGGACAGTCACATCACAACAATAGGTTTACCAGTGTTTCTTGGATACATTGATATGGCTGAACTTATAACTTAAAGAATAAAATATAAGTTTGATTAATCACAATATTAATCTTGGTCCATTTTCTAAATATTGTAGTAGATTAAAGTTATAACTTAGCTTTTTCAAAAGTTGGCCCATTCCTCCTTAAGTTTTAACTGTAGAATAATCAAATAAGCCTGTTTGAGGGTTAATGGTGGATTTTAAAAGGAGGTCCACAGCCCCCCTTCACCCTGCATTAATTGTTAGAATTATTTGTTTCTCATTTATGTATTTTCTTATGGATTAATCTGAGTTGTTAGCTACAATTTGTTATAAAGTAGCTGTGTGATGACATTTAAGGCTCTACTACTAATTGGTCTCTTTTGTGTCCTATTAATGTAGTCACTATGAATATGTTGCTAAGATGCAATTATGATTGTAGAATCACTCATTTTAATAAGAAAATGTTTTACTTTTGTAAGCATTAATGCGATTCTGGCTTGATAGAAAATGTAACTTGTTTTAAATTAGATTTAAGAGACTTTTGTCAATCCTTGTTAGTAGAAAACATTAAATGAGGCCACTTGTTAACTTTGATGGGGTTTTTTTAATAAAAAGAAATACTGTTTTTTAGTTGCCATTTTACTTTCTATTGTCTGTCAAACAAAAAATGGCTGGACTATTATTCTGGGGTTTAACTGGCAGTTTTCTCTGCATCTCATTAAACTAAACATGAAAGTCAATTAAAACTTTATTCATAGCTGCAGCAGCTCCTTTCCCATGAGCCTTGTCTTTCAGTCGTACATCAGGGTTTGTGTGTGTGTGTGTGTGTGTGTGTGTGTGTGTGTGTGTAGGCAAACTGACACCAGAATCTCAGTCATTATGGTATGTTTGGGTTATGCCGGCGCACTCACACGCCACATGAGGGTGAGGGTGTCTGCGAGCGATGCGGGGACGCATTGCGTTATCTCCCGCTGATGTCTGAGGGCGGGGGCCGCTGGTGAGAAGCGGTCTGACAGGGAAAACGGTCGTTTGTTCCCTCAGAGCTTAAAACTGGTGCATCTGCCCTTTAAAAAAGGGAAACCCTGTTTCTGCTTCATGGAGTCGCACATAAAGACAAGTTTCAGCTGATTATTTTCACTCCAGAACTTTTTTTTTTTCGCTTACTGCTGACGCGGTGGCAAAATCGTTTGGATTTCTGAAGCAGCGCACAGTAATCATTGTCCAATAGCTACTGTGCTGTTGCTCATTAAAAGGTAAATGTTTAAAGCCTCTTGTTATCTCTGCCAAGCAGAGGAAATTAATTTCACAGTAGAGGATATCAGTAAAAAGATCATCTGAAAAATATGACTTTTTTTTAACAAAGCGGCATCTTTTTCAACAAAGCAGACAAGAAGAAAATACTGATGAGAAATAAATTGATGTTTTAATTGTTCCTCTCTGGCGTCCCTGTAGGGAAAATACATAAGGCCTTCATCCAAAGACAGATAAACACAAAACTATCTTTCTAATTCCAAAATAAAATCAGAGAGGCAGAATGGTCAATTTTGGCTCTGGATTTCACATTACAATCACTTATTTGCTGTTTTTGTTGCTTATTTCCATAAAATACACACTTTTGCAGTGTTATTATTAAAATTGACTATAAGCAAAAAGATATAACATTGGTCGTTTATCATGTCTGTTTAAAAAAAAAGCATGCGTTATGGGTAAAAATGCAGAGCATCCCTGCAGATGAGTCAAATATAAAACAGCCGAGAACTCAGGTTGCGGTTAACCTGAAACACGTTCCCCTCTCTGCGCTCTGTCCAAAACGAGACAAGTCATCCTTAAGGATGTTGATGAACCAATCAGCTTCTTTTAGAAACCTCCTGGTGTTCATGAGATCCTCTATAAATCTGATCAGCCATCAGAGATCAGGCTGAAAACAATAATTAAAAAAAAGAAAAATCATTCCTATTTTATTGTGCGAACACTAAAGAGGTCTGTGAAGAAAAGTGCAAGCTCACATCTCAAATAATTCATAAACCATAAATAGTCCAGCAGAGTAGCCCGGTGATGTCAAGTGCCTTGAAAAACTGACTTGTTCACATTTTGTCACATTACAACCAGACTTCAATGGATTTACAGGCCAACAACTTTACAGTACAGGGAGGGGGGTGGAAATCCTCAAATAAAAAGCTGAAAAGTGTGGAGTGCATTTGTTTTCTTCCCTTTCATCCATCCACTTAAACTAACAGACCAGGAAAGGAGAACATTAATCAGATAAGCAGCATAGATCTCTGGAGGAGCTGCAGAGATCCACATCTCAGGTGGGATAATCTGTCAACAGGACAACTATCATGCACTCCACAAATCTGAGATTAATGGAAGAGTGACAAGAAAAAAGTCATTGAGAGATAGACACAAGTAGTCCTGTTTGAAGTAACAGCAAACCTATAGAAGAAGAAAGTTGTCTAACAAAACTAGACCAAAGTTAAACGTTCTGGCCTTTACACAAAACACAACATGTGGACGAAAGCCAAGACTGTGTCTCTCCTGGTAACAAACCATCTTCACAGAGAAACATGGCTGTGGCAGCATCATGCTGTGGAGATGGTTTTCCTCAGTCAACACTGAAGGAAAACCTGTTGGAGGCTGCAGAACGCTGCAGGCCGGTGGTGGAGGTTCACCTTCTAGCCAAAGTGCAGCCAGAGCTACACTGAAAAGGTTTAGATTAAATTCATGTGTTAGAATGGCCTAGTCAAAGTTCAGACCTAATTCCAATGCAATACAGAAGAAAGAGGAACATTGATTTTAAGTCTCTTCGTGTGCACAGCTACAACAGACCCAACATCGACAAATATCTGCGGTAAAGTTAAAAGCTTCAATAAAATTCAGAGTTTTCCTTCCCCTTCACGTGTTAATCAATCATAACATGGAATCTCAGTAAAACACACTGAATTTTGTGTTTGTAACGTGAAAAATGGGTAAAAATTGAAGGGGGTTTGAGTAGATTTGCAAGGCACTGTGTACCTGAGCGTGTTGTATCAGCAACACATATGTGGCCAAAGGAAAGTATCCCACATCCCCATCCTGACCCGCTAAGCCAGGATCTCATCCGAGTTCAAGCAGAAAGCTGGAAAAATAACCTCTACCAGTCGCAAAACTAAAGCGAGTTCCTCCACGTTTTCATTCTGCAGGAGACCGCAGGAGGAGATGCTCCTACTTCTCCGGTCCGCCCTTACTCATTTTCACTTTCTCCTGAAAGTCAGCGTGCTTCTGCCGCAGGATTTCTGTCTGCTTCTTGAAACCGTTGACCCTGGAAGAGAGCAGACCGGAGAGTCAGCCTCCAGCGCCAGACACTCAGCGCTCGGAAGGCGGTGCGCTCACCTGGCTCTCTCTTTGGCTTCGTTGTAGATTTCTGTGATGACTCTGTCTTTCTCGTCCATGAAGCTATTGTGAACTTCTTCCAGTTTCCTGAAAAAGTTGGAGAAACAACTGCTCGCTGTTTGCTTGACCTGAGACCCCCCCCCCTGAGTTTATGAGTTTGTTCAGATGTTATAACAGCTGCTCAGATTCACAAAGAAGTGAATCTCAGCAAACAAAAGAGGCACAGAGTCATTGTGTGGAAACAAATACGAGGAAATGAGTGGCGAGGTTGTGCCAGAGCACATGGCACAGAGGCATGCAGGAAAACACCACACTTAACCGTGCAATAAAAAAAAAAAAAAGGTTTTCTGATGGTTTTTTAATAGAGAGGCCTGAATATTTCAGCATGAGGTATGGAGATAGCTACCTAAAGAAGACCGCATGCGCTCCAAGGCTGAGTCCCATCGTGATGAGACAGTAAATCACCAGCCTGAAGTTCCTCTTCCTCTTCTGCTCCCTCTCCTCTGCAGTCGCCTCCGGAGACTGGGCATGACGAAACTGCTCCCAGTAGCGAATGTTATCGTTAGTAGTGGTGCTGGGAGAAGGAGAGAAGAGAAATACACTGGTAATGATCAGAAGTGACACTAAGAGACCGAAAAGAGGCGATCGGAGGGGAGCAGCTGAGCTGAAATGCACATAAATCTCAACAACTTTCCGTTTTCTCTCCCGACAAAAAGAACATCAGATATTTTAATCACCTGTGAGGTTGATGATTTTTTTTTTCTCTTTTTTTAAACGTTAGAGCGTGAAAAGATGCTTTTCTGCTGGCTTTAAAGCACTGCATTTGTGCCAAAATCACAGCCGTGGCTTTTTAGGTCAGGCGTACTTTCTATATTAGCTCACAGAACTCGAGGGAGCCTACGAGAACTAATTACATCAAGTCTCAGTCCATCCAGTTTTGATTTTAATTTTCAGAGAAACTTTGTTTAGCCACGTACCTCTCTTACCTACCAGTCATTCAGGTCATAACAAGCTGTTTAATCTGAAGTCATGACCTCAAGGGATATAAGATATATACAAGCATGCAATAATAACTGCAGTTATTGGGTCCGCTGGTAAACATGCATTAAGAGGCTTATGATAAAGTCAACTTATGATGCAGTTTTCTGGTATAGGCCACCAGATTTTTATTTTAAAAAATATTGTTATGTTTTTAAAGTTCAGAGAGTTCACGGTGCTTTGCAATCTGACAAAACTCGTAGAGCGTTTTGCAGCAAAACAGCCCCTTGGCATCACAAATCCTTGACTGTGATTAACAGTGAATATGAGCTGGTTTTGTTGAACATTAAACCCACCTGGAGAATTTGTTGCTAACTCCTAACCTAAACAAACCATGCGATTCCAGTTAAAGACCCTGTGGCATTTAGTGAACTCCACCTTTATGTTTGTGATGGTAGGAAAGAGGAGAAGTTTTATTGCTGGCACATACTGCAAATAGGATCTAAAAGGTACCATGAACAGTTGGAGACCAGAAGATGCCACTCTTTGCTGTATTTTTCTAAAGTGCAACAAATTTGTCTTTTAAATAGGAGCTCCAATATGGCTAAAGTCCAGCTGTCTCCTCTTTGTCCCCATGACACAAAAACATTTTTTAAATACGCCAAATTTAGAAAATGCTAATGTTCTTTATCGCAACGCTCTGATGTGCGTTGGAGATGTTTATCAACACACATCTGCCTAACTCTCTTGTCTTTCCTGGTTTGAGTAGTAAATACAAAGAATGGGCCTCAGTGGTGCGTTTTATTTTTTCAATTAGAGAAACGGAGAATCACAAATTATTAATTAGAAAGTCCTAAAAACACAGTTCAAATTAAAAAAAAAAAAAGGTAGAAGCAACATAAAAAATGCTTGTTAGATTCATTTTAAAGGGACTTTGCCTGAAACTGTGTGAAACTTTATAAATATACTGAGAATAAAAGGTTTGGTTTTTCTAAAGGTTTTCTAGGTGAGATACAGCTACTGCAACAAAAGGTTGGATAATTGTTTAGGCTTTTAAACATCTTCACAAGTCAAATGCTGCAGCAGAGCACCGACCAGTACAGTGTGAGGCCTTACCTTCTGTATACTGTGTGACCAGATGTTGATCTAAAGGCCTGCCCCCCCTGGTATGGATGCTGGAGCTTAAGGTCATATTCCTTCCTGCTCAGCTCTTTGCTCAGCACTCTGTAG